CACACACTCACTCACTCACTCACTCACTCACTCACACACACACACTCACTCACTCACTCACTCACTCACTCACACACACACACTCACTCACTCACTCACTCACTCACTCACACACACACACTCACTCACTCACTCACTCACTCACTCACACACACACACTCACTCACTCACTCACTCACTCACTCACACACACACACTCACTCACTCACTCACTCACTCACTCACACACACACACTCACTCACTCACTCACTCACTCACTCACACACACACACTCACTCACTCACTCACTCACTCACTCACACACACACACTCACTCACTCACTCACTCACTCACTCACACACACACACTCACTCACTCACTCACTCACTCACTCACACACACACACTCACTCACTCACTCACTCACTCACTCACACACACACACTCACTCACTCACTCACTCACTCACTCACACACACACACTCACTCACTCACTCACTCACTCACTCACACACACACACTCACTCACTCACTCACTCACTCACTCACACACACACACTCACTCACTCACTCACTCACTCACTCACACACACACACTCACTCACTCACTCACTCACTCACTCACACACACACACTCACTCACTCACTCACACACACACTCACACACACACACACACACACACAAACGCATAAGTATATGACAACTAAAACATGAAAACATATACTGTAAATGTACATATCCTCATGGAAAACGAACAGCATTATTCATGTGTAAGCAGTTCACAATACACACGAGAAAGCAGTATTTCCCCACAGGAGCAGGTTCTGTACGATCAGTGTTTTCTAGCATGTTTTCTTCAGGTCATGTCAGTGGTTAGATTGACAGAGGACCCGTTAGCCTACTAATCTGATCTAAATATTCATAATAATAATAATCAATCAATGCTGTTCTGAAGCACAGATGAACACTCCTAACACTTTCACCTGGCCGTCCATCAGCTCATCCTGAAACTAATGAACCACACTTACAATAAATACAATTAATACATATATATTAACCCTCTGGTGTTATCTGGTCATTTTTGACTGGAAAATTGAATTTGGGAATCAATAAAAAGGATGATGGGCCCTAATCAGAGGACCACCTTTTCAACAGTAGACTGTATTTTTACACCTTTCTCGTTCTTACTATTTCAAGCTCTCTCAACTTCTTATATTGTAGTTTGTCAGTGGAAATAATATTCTGTAGGCTTTGAATACACGCGTGCTTCCTCTAAATCCTCATAAAATCCTGTTTATACTGTATATAAGACTGGTCTGAAACTGAGCTGCTTGTTTCGCTACTCGAGACTAAATGCGCCGCATCTGAATCAGTAGCGCCACATAACGGTTTAATAACTGTAATAAATGTGTTCTTGGACGGAGTCTTGTAAAGGTTTGTGAACAGCTCAAGCTTCGCGCCGTTTTGAATGAATCCGCTTCGGTCCCTTTTGCCTCCATTTCCGCGCGTGACGTCATCGGTGAATAAATCGCGCACTCGTTCACTAACCCTGAGACACTACCGTTACCATGGAAGCGTTTCAGTCCTTTAAAATGGGAGCGGCGTAGACCACAGTCACGTGTCCCGGATTCCCGCCCACCTATTGGCTGGCGCTCCGTGACGTCACGCGACCTGGCTGCTTTTTTAAAAAGACGGCGGGAAACGCTCGCTTTATTTCTTCAGTTCTGCTGAGGCGAGCGGTCCTGTCCGGCGTTCATTCGCAGAAACCGCGCGATGGTGCGAACTAAAGCTGATAGCGTTCCCGGCGCGTACAGGAAAGGTGAGAGAAACCCCACAAACCCACTACACATCAGCTCAGACTGAAGGAGAAGCTCCTGTGATAACCGTGCCTTTGTAGCGCGCTAAAACCCGCTCGCTCTGTTCTTTCTGTCGATGCTGTAAGTGTTAGCAGTAGCGTTCGGCTTTCTGCGTGTGTTTATGTGGATTTTGATGAATATGAGTATATGTCTTTATCAGTCATCATCTCCCGCCAATCTGCTGCGACTCGAGCATGAGCACACGCTGACTGATTCAGTTACAGTACTATGCTGTCTTTATGAGGGGAAAAACGCTTTTATACCTAAATGAACGATTTAATCTGGAAACATTTACCGCAGTTGTGTTTATTGTCTAGCAACCATTGGCGTTAAACACTGATGCTACTGTTAATATAACACCGATGAGTCATTAAAGGAGTATTTTTCCAGCTGAATCGTCTCATTATTGTTTGAACATTAAAGCTAGTGAATGCCAGTGAGGTTTGTTTTTAAAGGAGTTTAATTCGGACTGAATGAAATGGCGCCACTTTCACATTCATCCGCGTCGCGTCACGATGAAGCGCTCCGGAAGCGGAATTACCTTGTTTCTGACGGCGCGCCTCGTGTTGTGCTGTGTTTATTAAATGTTAATAAATAATTTTCTATGTGTTTGTTTCAGCTGTTGCCGCCTCCGCGCCCCGGAAGTCCCTCGGCGCTTCCGGTTTCGTGAACGCGCACAGCAGCGGCGCGCAGTCGGGCACGCCAGGTGAGTGCGCGCACGCAGAGCTCTAAATGAGACGCGTTCTGGCGTCTTGCGTCACTTCCAGAGTTTAGCTGAGGCGTGCTGTGTTCTGCTGCTGGTGAAGAGAACGCCAGCTGTGTTTATACAGCGCTTTATACAATACACATTGTGTCAAAGAAGCTTTAGTGTCAATAATGCAAACTAATTCAGTTCTGCTGTATGAAGTGTGTAGTAGGAGTTGTGTATTTAATATTGATTGTCTATTGCGTCAGTGTTCCTGTCAGTAGCTCTATATTCATGTTAGCTTCAGTAAAGTGAGTTTCGTGCCTGCTCCGTGTCAGATGTTGGCATTAAAGCATGTTTGTCTTGCTCAGCTAAGGGTAAATACGCGGGCGGGAACCCTGTGTGTCCGCGGCCCACACCCACGTGGCAGAAGGGCATCGGAGACTTCTTCGGCGGCCCCAGCCGGAAACCAGAGAAGGAGAACCTTCACCCTGCGTCTGATGATGAGGAGGAGGCCGGCGGCAGCGGCGTGGCTAAAGCGCCCAGGAAGTGAGTGCTCGGAGCACTTCCTCTTCCTGTCTGCAGTGCAGGGTTCGAGCGAGACTGAGCCGTGTTCTCTCTGTGTTTCAGGTCCAGACCCATCATCGACGACGAGGAGGAGGATTAATCTCTTTATTCAGTTTACATGTTTCTTTCATGCTTGACTATTTAGTGTAAATCTTTGTAAATACTTTTAATAGGATGTCTGGTTTGTTTTGTACAGAGGTTTAATAAAAGGATTGTTCAGAGTTGTGTTGGTGTGATCTCTACAGTGAGTGAATGCAGTCAGATTAAACCTGCGAGCCGCTGCATGAAGAGTGTCTGGTTACAGATGTGTCTTAAGTGTTCGTGGGTTTAAATAAGCAGTCGTGTAGAAATCCAGTCATGTCTGGAGTTTAGTGTTCAGAATGTGCTGCTACAGTCAGTAGTGCTGGATCTGTGATAAAGCGTGAGTTTGGTGGTGGTCTGTGTTCCTGGTTAGTAAGAAACACTCGGACTGATGAAGGCCTGCTCATCTCCTCAAGCATGACTGCAGATTAATCTAACATAATCCAGGAGCTCGGAGTTCGACTGACCACACTTGTGTAAGCTAAAATGAACATTAGATGTTTGAATTTGTTAAAATAAACTCCAGCAGCTGTCAAACTGAATTGAGCTCAATACAAAGAATTTGTTTTTACTTATTAATCAGCGTTTCATCATGACAAGCCCACTTTTTATTAAAGGAGCTTTATCGTTTAATTTGATCAGAAATGGGAATTGACGTATTCTTATATTACCATTAAACATGTTTCCATCAGCATTTAATGGCTGAAAGCCACGGTTTCAGATAGTTTGATGTGATTCTGCTGAACAGAAGCTGATGAATGCTGTTCGTCTGCAGTCTCTCTTCTCTCCTGCGTGTCTGCAGTTGTGTGAAGGGTTAATGCTGACATTAGCTTGCATTAAATCACTCTCATGTGAAAGCTATTCACTCAAAATGCATTTATATCTGCACAAATACCTGTTTTTGAGCGAAACACCGGACTCCACTGACGAAAAGCGTTTCTTTGCTGGATTTATTTGCTTCTTGCTGTTCAGTGTTTTCAGTCAGATTCTGTGTGTTCAGTCAAATCTCACATTTGCACTTCTTAATGGCAAATAAGAGGGCTAATTTAATATATCTTTGTACATAAGTCTTTTTTTTTTTCTATATTAGATTTGGCAGTATAATTAGAGAAATGTACCTAAACCAAATTTTAGAGATACACATAAAACTCATATTAATGAGAGTTATAGTTTTATAGTGCATTGCAGAAATGAGATATCTATACAGAAGTGTTTCTACTGAAATAGCAAGGTCAGAGTGTGCTATCAGCAAACACAGAAATCAATGCTTCTGGGAGCAGACCTGTAATCAGGGTTGGGCAAAGATACATCAAAATATATTTTAAAATAAAATACCTTAATTTTAAGTGTATCAAAATAAACTACAAAATACAGCAGCCACACAAAGTATCAAAATAAACTACTGTATTTTAAAAATACTAAAAAATACTTTTACAAGGGAGCATGAAGTTTCTTCACAAACCTTCCATCAATTGGCCTATTTGATCTCTCTCTTCACCAACACACTGATGTTTGTGAACAAGTGAACAATGTTTGTCCGTCGATTCACACTTTATATCAAAGTGTGTTAAAGAGGGTGTTAAAGAGGGTGACTGGCACACAGTATTTTATGTATTTTGAAAATACAAAAATACTAATCTTAAATGTATTTAAATACAAATTACTTTTGATTTTTGCCGAAGGCTTTCAAATACAAAATAGTATTTTGTATTTCAAATACGTATTTTAAATACATGTATCTGAAATACTGCCCATCCCTGCCTGTATTTACTGTGATTTACTGTGTTTACTGCGGTGTTAGTGCTGGGAGCTCCGGACAGCTGTGGAGCTCTATATAACCTGAAGAAGAAGCTGCAGTGTCGCTCCTCCGCCGCTGGGGGTCAGTGCGTGGCGCTCGCGCGGCTCGACTTCCGGTCTGGCTCTTTTTCTTTCTCTTCCGCTCTCCGGATCATCATGGTGGGTATCCGATTGTTTGACTCCTGATAATCTGCTGTAATCCTGCTCTTTCTCCGCTCGGTTCATGAACGCAGACGGAGGAGTGTGACGCGGGGTTTGTTTGGCGCGCGTGTGTGTGAGTATGACGCGACAGATGAGCGGCGCGACAGATTCAAACGCGATAAAAGAGCGCGAGCCGCTCCGCTCACAGTAATACTCTAGCACTGCGAGTGTGTTTCACAGTAACGCGTGTTAATCGATACACCTCATCAGATATTGAGGATCTGACCGGTTCAGGTCTGTAGAGCGCTTCTGGTCGGCCCATAATGCACCGCAGCTAGCAGACACTAGCATTAAAGCCCCGTTCACACACGAGCGAAAGATAACGATATTAGCGTCCACACCAGCGAACGATCTCGTGTTTATTCTGTCGCTTTAAATTCTCCAGCTCGTGACCGCAGGGTGGGTTCTGATTGGTTGTCAGTGTTTGTATCGTTCATCAGCTGGACAAGATCGTGCGACTTTATCGTTATAGTTCTGTAATATTGAGAAAGATTGTTAGAACTTGTTATTGGTGTGAGCGGGGCTTACTCTCGCTCTGCTGCTATTATATGTGTATGACTGACGGTTGTGAGCTGTTATACGTGTGTTTATGGGCTGTGTTTGTCCGCAGGGCCGCGTCAGGACCAAGACGGTGAAGAAGGCCGCTCGGGTCATCATCGAGAAGTACTACACCCGGCTGGGTAACGACTTCCACACCAACAAGCGTGTGTGCGAGGAGATCGCCATCATCCCCAGCAAGAAGCTGCGCAACAAGATCGCCGGGTGAGCCGAGCCGAGCCGCACTGCATGCTGGGACACCGCAGCACTCCATAGAGCGTCAGTGATCCAGGAGAGATGAGCTGGAGTCAGTCTGAAGCGTTTCAGTGTCTCGCTCAGGGTTTCTCCGTCTCTTAGATGCGCTCGGACACATCAGATAAACCAAATAAGAGCTAAGATCTGTCAGTGGGGAATGAAAACCTGTTTCCCTTTGAATGAAGCTGATTTTTCAGAGCACACCGGCAGATATTTGTTCTTGTTTTAATCATAAACTCACTTCATTTTGATCAGTTCCCTATTTCATCATAACGAAGCTTGATTAAAGCAGAGAGACGGATATTGGTAACGGAGCGCTGGCTAATCACCCCTTGCTGTGTCCATCAGTGATGTGTGACCCCGGACCATAAAACCAGTCATAAGGGTCAATTTTTTGAAATTGAGATTTATACATCTTCTGTAAGTTTACAAAATATCTTCATGGAACATGATCTTTACTTAATATCCTAATGATTTTTGGCATAAAAGAAAAATTGATAATTTTGACCCATACAATGTATGCTATTGCTACAAATATACCTGGGCTGCTTAAGACTGCTTTTGTGCTGCAGGCTCACACGTGTTTCAGTGAAAGTACAGCTAGTGTAAAGCGGAGTGTGAATGACGAGTGTTTCTCTGCAGGTACGTCACACACCTGATGAAGCGCATCCAGAGAGGTCCAGTCAGAGGAATCTCCATCAAGCTGCAGGAGGAGGAGCGCGAGCGCAGAGACAACTACGTGCCCGAGGTGCGTCTCTCCGTCTCTCTGTCTCTCTCTCCGTCTGTCTGTGCGTCTCTGTCTCTCTCTCCGTCTGTCTGTCTCTCTCTCCGTCTGTCTGTGTCTCTCTCCGGCTGTGTGTGTGTCTCTCCGTCTGTCTGTGCGTCTCTCCGTCTGTCTGTGTGTCTCTCCGTCTCTCTCTCTCTCTGTGTCTCGCCACAGAATCAGGAATCGAAGCTTCGAGTCAAAACATTAATCCAGACGGGAAACAGTCAACGGCGCCACAAACCCAAGCGTCTCTTTGTCTTCTGGATTCATATTTCCCAGGGCAGTGTGTGTGTGTGTGTGTGTGAGAGAGAGAGAGATGAGGTTTGTGCTATTCTTCATCACCAGCGCAGTGTGTACTTTCAGAGCATAGCAGTACAGGAACAGTACTGACTACTAACTGTGGGATAATCCATGAGTGAAACTACATGACAATATTTCACATGGTTTGATTCCTAATACTGTTTCCGGCCACGAGGGGGCATCGTGGAGTCAGAGAATAAAGGAGTCCAAGGATGTTTGTGTGCTTTTTACTCGCGCGTTAAACCAGGGAACACGACACTAACTAACCGACAGCTGGAGCACTGCTCATCATAAATGAACTCGCATGCAGAGCAAGAACGGTGGAAATGTTCAGGCAATGTGATCCATTAATTTACAACTTTATTAAATCTGTCATGAAAAACAAGAACGCAGTTGTGGAGTTGGGAAGAACAGTCAGCGTGAGACACATCAGGAGCTTCCGGTGCAAAAGTTCATCAGCGTAATCGCTATTATTGCAAAAATCTTCAATAAAATCCATGACTGTCACACGAGTCCTCACAGAGCAGCACGAGGCAATGTCATGAAGGAGGAGACAACTGAACTAAAACCAAAACAAAGGAAATAAAACATCTCAGAATAGACGAAACACAATCACCTCAATCACCTTAAACTCTGTCACTGTCACAACATCAGAGAACTGCTTTTCTTTTAAATTAATTTAAATATTTTAAATATTTTTTCACCATCTACTTTTATTGCGAAAATAGGCAACTGGACTAACTGTGACGATGATGATGATGATGATGAAGATGTATTTCGAGCAGCGTGTGGCCACAGAAACGGCTGCGGCACATCTCCATGACGACCGCGTGTTTATCTTGCGCTCAAGCAGTTGCGAGTTTTTGGACAGTTCGCTGGATGTCTGTACATCGGTACGTTTCCCTGAACAGAAAGTATGAACACAAGTGCGGCCCCGGAGCACGACGGCCGTCCTGCCGGAGAAAGAGCAGAGCGCCGCCACAGAATCAGGAATCGAAGCTTCGAGTCAAAACATTAATCCAGACGGGAAACAGTCAACGGCGCCACAAACCCAAGCGTCTCTTTGTCTTCTGGATTCATATTTCCCAGGGCAGTGTGTGTGTGTGTGTGTGTTTGTGTGAGAGAGAGAGAGAGAGATGAGGTTTGTAAACCGCTCCATTGCAGAATCTGATTGGATGGTGGGGCGAAAGAGGCGGGGCTTCATGCAGAGGGACTCGGGTGGGCTTCCTGTCAGAAACACCAACTAGCAGTTTGTGTTGCTCACACACACACACACACACACACACACTCTCTCTCTCTCTCTCACACACAGTGCTATTCTTCATCACCAGCGCAGTGTACTTTCAGAGCATAGCAGTACAGGAACAGTACTGACTACTAACTGTGGGATAATCTATGAGTGAAACTACATGACAATATTTTACATGGTTTGATTCCTAATACTGTTTCCGGCCACGAGGGGGCATCGTGGAGTCAGAGAATAAAGGAGTCCAAGGATGTTTGTGTGCTTTTTACTCGCGCGTTAAACTAGGGAACACGACACTAACTAACCGACAGCTGGAGCACTGCTCATCATAAATGAACTCGCATGCAGAGCAAGAACGGTGGAAATGTTCAGGCAATGTGATCCATTAATTTACAACTTTATTAAATCTGTCATGAAAAACAAGAACGCAGTTGTGGAGTTGGGAAGAACAGTCAGCGTGAGACACATCAGGAGCTTCCGGTGCAAAAGTTCATCAGCGTAATCGCTATTATTGCAAATATCTTCAATAAAATCCATGACTGTCACACGAGTCCTCACAGAGCAGCATGAGGCAATGTCATGAAGGAGGAGACAACTGAACTAAAACCAAAACAAAGGAAATAAAACATCTCAGAATAGACGAAACACAATCACCTTGTTACGACTAAACTCTGTCACTGTCACAACATCAGAGAACTGCTTTTCTTTTAAATTAATTTAAATATTTTTAAAAATATTTCACCATCTACTTTTATTGCGAAAATAGGCAAGTGGACTAACTGTGACGACGATGATGATGATGATGAAGATGTATTTCGAGCAGCGTGTGGCCACAGAAACGGCTGCGGCACATCTCCATGACGACCGCGTGTTTATCTTGCGCTCAAGCAGTTGCGAGTTTTTGGACAGTTCGCTGGATGTCTGTACATCGGTACGTTTCCCTGAACAGAAAGTATGAACACAAGTGCGGCCCCGGAGCACGACGGCCGTCCTGCCGGAGAAAGAGCAGAGCGCCGCCACAGAATCAGGAATCGAAGCTTCGAGTCAAAACATTAATCCAGACGGGAAACAGTCAACGGCGCCACAAACCCAAGCGTCTCTTTGTCTTCTGGATTCATATTTCCCAGGGCAGTGTGTGTGTGTGTGTGTGTTTGTGTGAGAGAGAGAGAGAGAGATGAGGTTTGTAAACCGCTCCATTGCAGAATCTGATTGGATGGTGGGGCGAAAGAGGCGGGGCTTCATGCAGAGGGACTCGGGTGGGCTTCCTGTCAAAAACACCAACTAGCAGTTTGTGTTGCTCACACACACACACACATACACTCACACACTCTCTCTCTCTCTCACACACACACATACACTCACACTCTCTCTCTCTCTCTCACACACACACACACACAATCACACACACACACTCACACACACACACACTAATATACACGTACACACACTAATATACTCACTCACTCACTCACTCACACACACTCTCACTCACACA